GGCAAGTCTTTCAGCCATCTGACCTCCGCCGATGTGTTGGCTTCATCATTCCCAGGTGACTGCATGGGCTGATATCCGGATACATGGTAGGCATATACTCTTCCATATATCAAGCCACGTGTCTTGGCCTCAGATTGATCTGGCGTGGATAGTCCAGTCCTGAGTGGCCCACTGTGTGATACAGTGTGAGTCCTCCATTGACTGCCCAGCTATCCATGCAGATGTTCAACACACTATCACCTTGCTCTTGGGTTATAACCACCCTCACTGCTCGTAATTCAGCCCACTGGCTACTTTGTCCATCCTCTTCTTCAAACCAGATCATCTCGGGTGAGGGATGGTATACAACCATATGCCATTTACTTGGATTTCCTCTGCTGGACCCATACGTGTACCAGGCATCCTCTGGGATTGGCTGTTTTCCCTCTTGTACAGTACTCTTCTCTGGTGGAGCGACAAAAGCCTCCTGGGGTGCATCACTGAGGTATGTCACTGGTACAAGTATATTCTGCAATTCTTCTTTCAGTAGCAAAGAGGACAAACAGCTTCATTGCCTTAGCATGCCACCATTTGGGCTTGGGCCACTCCTGTCATAGTAGTACAGGCCAATTCTTTCACCCACCCCTGAATGGGCAGGGTTGTTTTTACTATTACCTCTGCCGTTTGTGTTATTGGTTCTACCGCCTGCAACACAGAATAGGTAGCCAATAACTGCTTCTCAATCATACTGTTTCTCTGTTCTGCTCCATACCATACCTGAAACCAAAAACTGATAGGGGTCTGAACAGAACCCTGGTGCTTCCACAATCCCCAACCAAACCCTTCCCGAGTCACATGTACATCCAGTTTGGCAGTCAGAGTAGGATCAAATATACTAAGCACCTGTGCTTGTTTAACAGATAACTTTGTCCAGTTAAAGGTGTCCTGTTCTGTTCATCCCCAATCCCACAACTGGCCTTTCTTAGTTAATCAATATAGAGGTCTCAAGATCTGTGTAAAGTGGGGTATGAAGGTTCTCCAATATCCCAAATATGCCAAGAAATTCCTGTAATTGTTTCACTGTGGTTGGTACTGGAAATGCTTGAATTTTGTCAATAATAGCTTTGGGTAAGACTTTAGTCTTACCTGACCAAATAACTCCCCAAAATGTTAGACAGTCCAAGCCCTTGGACTTTCTGTGGGTTGATAACCCATCCTTTCTCCCACAGAAGGAACCTGTTAGGTTTATCCCATTCTGCGAAATCATGTGCCACCAAATTGTGGCAGACGGTTGGAGAATGCACATACCCTTGTGATAGGACATGAGGTCCACTGCCTACCCTCCCATGTAAAGGCAAATTGGTCCTGCGATTTCTCAAGAATCAGGATGTTAAAGATTGCATTGGCCAGATCCAGGACACAATGGTAGGTCTCCAACTCCCTACTCAATGTGTCCAGGAGGATGGCAATATTGGGTACATGAATTGGTGGGGTTACTTTATTTAATCTCTGTAATCTACAGTCATGTGCCACATTTCATCTGGTTTTCAGACTGGACATACAGGAGAGTTATATGGGCTACATGTTGGTCATATAATTCCTACTTTCTCTAATTCCTGTATAGTTTTTGTAATTTCTTCTTGTCCCCCTGGGAGTCAATATTCCTTCACATTAGTGATTCAGCATGGCTGGGGTAACTGAATGGGCTCATGCTTTGCATATCCCCACAAAATTGATTGCACCTCCCAGGCAGTAATATTTCTTATCCATAACCTGAACTCTCCAATATTAGTTTGGAGAGTCAATCCCCATAGTATATCTATACCTCATATATATTCCTGATTTGGGGCTATAGAAACTTTATACTCCCAGGAGGGTAGATGCCCAACACCTAACTTCAACCAAGTTTGGGTTACTGAAATCATTTTCCCACCAAACCCTTATATAACAATATGCACGCCCAGAAATCTTGATAGATTGCCATAGCTTATACATTTCATCTCCAGTATCTACTAGAGCCATGACCTGTAGTATATTCTTTTGAGACCAATAGATTGTCACTTCAACATACAGCCTCCAGTCCCCCAAGGAGGCCCCAACTCTAGGAGGACCTTGGCCCTCATTTCATGCCATTAATTTATCTAGACACAGAGCTTGTTCCAAGGAAGCCCCAGCAGCAACCAAATGGGCCACCTGGGGTGGCTGCCTTCACATTCAGGTTCCAAGACATCTTCTAAATTCCATGGCTGGGTGGGGACTCTATTCTTCTTACACTTTCCCTTCTTGTTGGGGTGGGCTTAAAACACTGACCAGCTTTAAGTTGCTGCCATAAATTTAATAATACATGATTCAGTTGTCTATCTATCTCTTTGTGTTGGACCCCTGCTTTTATTAGATCATTCCACATTTGCCAGCAAGATACTCTCACCGGCCCTGATTGTGGAACCCTTTGAGCTGGTTTATGATATCAAATCACTCTAGTTTCTATAAGGCACAGATTCCACCTGGATCTTAGGTGTCCTGTTTCTATTAAGTCAGCTACTATCTGTACTGCTCATTGGACAGTTGCCTCTCCAGATACCAGAGGGTTCAAAATAGCTACTAGGGTGCCATATTGATGAAAGGGGGCTTGCTGCAGGATTAGGTCTCTCATCCCAGCTGAGAATTTAACTAGGTCCAACTAGTCCTCCTTGTAAATGGCCACTTTCATTCCTAATTCCCTTATATATGTTTGTAAATCTTCCATATTATCCCACATTCTACTGTGAGTGGGCACATCGCCTTCATTTGGCCATGTAAGTTCACACAGCTACCAGCCATTGTAATATCAAATGGTTCTCATCGTCACGTCTAACAGTTGAGTGTAATCTTTGCTGCATGGCCGGGCGGGATGTGATGGAAACTAGCTTTGACATTCTGGGCCCATTAACCATAACAGCTTCTGTCTCCATGTCCCACAGTCTTAATAACCACTTTCTCTTGATTTTTGTTTAAATCTTTGTACTAGATCCATTAACTCAACTGCCATATACAGGCAAGCCGTTGTATGTACTATTGTTTCATCAGGTGGCCATCCCTCGGGTAGTACACCTGCTGGTCTTCCCTGAGAAGTTTTAGTTTGAGTCACTATTGGTCACATTTTTAGAGGTTCTGATTTTACCAAAGCCTCTAGTTGGGTTGTCTTTATAGTTTTTTGGGGGGTTACATTAATAGTTTTCACTTCAACAAAAGTATTTTCTATTTTATTCTTTTGTTGTTGTTGTTCAGTTATATTCCAAGGATCCCATTGCTCTGGGTTCCAATCATCTTTTAAGACTATGGGTTTTATTTTTTTCATTGGTAGATTCCTACCTGTTATTTGGGCATATTGCCCCACCAACAAGGTAAGTTTCTGCTCTAATCACTTTATGCAGATAAATAGCATCTCATTTTCCTCCCTTAACTCTTCTTTAGATTTGGTGGAACTCAGTGCTACTAATAGTTGCCATGCCACAGTTGATGCAGCAAGCTGTCTTTCCTTTGTAGTCAAAATACGATTTCCCAAATTTTCAAGAAATTCAACCATACAAGATGGCAATTTGGAAATGTCCCCATAACTGGTCCCCTTTTTACTATTACCTCCACAGGAGAATGCCACAGAAATGCTAGAAACCCTAGGATGTGTCTGGATAATTCCTTTTCAAGGGAGTTAGATTTCCCCCATCCAAACTGGTGTAGAATACTCTTTAAGAATGCCATTTCTGTCTTTTAAGTTCTGGATATTTTCCCTAGTATCCTTCAAACTACACCAAACATTCTGCTCACAAAGAAGCAAAATTGCTTCTGACAGGTTCTTGGCAATACCAGGGAAAGTGTTTGTAGGTAAGTAAATAGTCACATACAGGAAAAACAGTTGACCTCACCCAACTGGTGAAGGGAATCTCTAGCTATGCAGTATTCTCTCTCAATCACAGAATCACAGATTGCAGGGATTGGAAGGGACCTTGAAAGATCAGCTAGTCCAATCCTCCTGCTGGAGCAGGAACACCTAGATCAGGTCACAAAGGAATGCGTCCAGGTGGGTTTTGAATGTCTCCAGAGAAGGAGACCTCACAACCTCTCTGGGCAGACTGTTCCATTGTTCTGTCACTCTCACCATAAAGAATTTTTTTCTCATATTTATGTGGAACCTCCTGTGTTCCAGCTTGCACTCATTACCCTTTGTCCTATCATTGGATGTCACTGAGAAGAGCCTGGCTCTTCCATCCTCATGACACTCTCCCTTTACATATTTATAAACATTAATGAGGTCACCCCTCAGTCTCCTCTTCTCCAAACTAAAGAGACCCAGCTCACTCAGTCTTTCATCATAAGGGAGATGCTCCACTCCCTTAATCATTTTTGTGGCTCTGCACTGGACTCTCTCAAGCAGTTCCTTGTCCTTCTTGAACTGAGGGGCCCAGAACTGGACACAATACTCCAGATGTGGTCTCACCAGGGCAGAGTAGAGGGGGAGGAGAACCTCTCTCAACCTACTAACCACACCCCTTCTAATACACCCCAGGATGCCATTGGCTTTCTTGGCCACAAGGGCACAGTTCTGGGTCATGGTTATCCTGCTGTCCACCAGGACCCCCAGGTCCCTTTCCCCTACGCTGCTCTCCAACAGGTCAGTTCCTAACCTATACTGGTACCTGGGGTTGTTCTTGCCCAGATGCAAGACTCTACACTTGCCCTTGTTGTATTTCATTACAACTCTCCAGCCTGTCTAGGTCTTGCTGGATGGCAGCACAGCCTTCTGGTGTGTCAGCCACTCCTCCCAGTTTTGTGTCATCAGCAAACTTGCTGATCATGCACTCTATTCCCTCATCCAAGTCATTGATGAATATATTGAATAGCACTGGTCCCAATACCGATCCCAGAGGGACTCCACTGGATACAGGCCTCCAATTAGACTCCACCCCACTGACCACAACTCTGGCTTCTTCCATTCAGCCAGTTCACAATCCACCTCACTATCCAATCATCCAGACCACACTTCCTCAGTTTAGCTGTGAGGATGCTGTGGAAGATGGTGTCAAATGCTTTACTGAAATCAAGATAGACTACATCCACTGCTTTACCATCATCTATCCACCTGGTTATTTCTTCATAAAAGGCTATCCCCTTGGTGAATCCATGCTGACTACTTCTAATGACCCTCTTATCCTTGATATGCCTACAGACAGCACCAAGGATAAGTCGTTCCATCACCTTTCCAGGGATGGAGGTGAGGCTGACCAGTCTATAGTTACCAGGGTCCTCCTTCTTGCCCTTTTTGAAGACTGGGGTGACATCTGCTTTCTTCCAGTCCTCAGGCACCTCTCCTGTTCCCCATGACTTACCAAAGATGATGGAGAGCGGCCTAGCAATGACTTCTGCCAGCACCCTCAGCACCCACAGGTGCATCCCATCAGGGCTCATGGATTTATGTATGTCCAGATTGCTTAACTGGTCCATAACCCAGTCCTCATCAACTGAGGTAAACTCCTCCTTTATCCTGGCTTCCTCTGGGGCTTCAGGGATACAGGGCTCATCAGGACAGTCTCCAGCAGCATAGACAGAGATAAAGAAGGCATTCAGTAACTCTGCCTTCTCTGTATCTTCTGTCAAAAGGGCACCCACCTCATTGATCAGTGGGCCTACATTGCCTGTAGTGTTAGTTTTATCTGCAATATATTTGCAGAAGCCCTTTTTGTTGTCCTTGACCCCTCTCGCAAGGTTTAATTCTAAGGAGGCCTTAGCTTTCCTGGTTGCCTCCCTGTCATGGTTTTGTGATTTTTGGTTTTTGGTATTCCACATCATAACATTATGTAGTACACTGGGAGTTAAAGTGTTAATGCTCCAATTCCAGGTACCTGTCTCTGTACATTGCGGAAGTCATGGGATCTGGCCCTTCTGGGTGGGGCAGTCTCTTACTGCCTTGCAGGGGATGTTGGAGCATGCTTTCCTAGCCGTTCCAAGCTTTTCAGGTTTGACTCGGTCTCAGGAACTCTCTCTCCTATCTTATTTGATTTATTAGTCTCAATTTCAATTAGATTGTATTATATTGTGTTATCTTGTATTCCGATATCATAGTTAGTAAAATAATTTTTCCTCCATAGATCATTGCCACTGTTTTTTGGGTTTTTTTTTCCTCCTTGAGCCCAGCTCCCATCTCCCTATCCCTTTTCCCTTTTCCTTCCCATTTTGTGGGGCCAGGGGGAGGGGCCAGGGGCCTACTGCCCCCCTGTCACGGGCATAGATTGATCTAGTTAACTCCATGACACTCCCTACATCCTCTGACAATAGTCTTATAATCTTCCCAAGTGGCCAGCCCCTCCTTCCATGATCTATAAACTCTCCCTTTCCACTTCAGCTTGCCCAGCAGTTCCCTGTTTAATCGTGCAGGTCTCCTGGCTCCTTTTCTCAACTTCCTACCTGTTGCGATGCTCTGATTTTGAACTTTGGAGAAACGGTCCTTGAATGCTAACCAACTATCTTGGGCCCCTTTACCTTCAAGCACCCTGTCCCTCTGGATTTCCCCTAGCAATTGCTTGAAAAGGCCAAAGTTGGCCCTTCTGAAGTCCAGGGTTGTGATTCTGCTCAGTATTCTGTTCTGGCCACATGAGATCCTGTATTCTACCACCTCATGGTTGCTGCAACCAAGGCTGCCCTCAACCTTTACCACTTCAGCCATACCCTCCTTATTAGTGAGAATAAGATCTAGCAGCACCCCTCTCCTGGTTGGCTCATCCACCATTTGTATCAGGAAGTTATCATCAACGCTCTGGAGTAACCTCCTGGACTGTGGATGGAAGGTAGGCCTTCCAGCAAATATCTGTGTAGTTAAAATCCCCCATGATAACCATAGAATTGCTCAGGTTGGAAAAGACCTTAAAGATCATCAAGTCCAATCGCAACCTAATCAAACTACCCCAACTCTAACAACCCTCCGCTAAATCATGTCCCTGAGCACCACATCCAAACGGTTTTTAAACACATTCAGGGATGGTGACTCAACCATCTCCCTGGGGAGCCTATTCCAGTGCTTAACAACCCTTTCTGTAAAGGTTTTCCTGATATCCAATCTAAACTTACCCTGGCACAACTTGGGGCCATTTCCCCTCGTCCTGTCACCTGTCACCAGTGAGAAGAGACCAGCTCCGCCCTCACTGTAAGCACCTTTCAGTTATTGAAAGAGCAATAATGTCTCCCTTCAGCCTCCTTTTCCCTAGACTAAACAGCCCCAGTTCCGTCAGTCGCTCCTCATAGGGCATATTCTTTAAGCCCTTCACAAGCCTTGTTGCCCTTCTTTGGACCTGCTCCAGCACCTCAATGTCCTTTCTGTATTGAGGTGCCCAAAACTGAACACAGTACTCAAGGTGAAGCCTCACCAGTGCCATACAGGGGCAGGATTACTTCCCTAGTCCTGCTCACCACACCATTCCTGATACAAGCCAGGATGCCATTGGCCTTCTTAGCCACCTGGGCACACTGCTGGCTCATATTCAGCTGACATCAGTACACCAAGGTCCCTTTCCATCGGGCAGCTTTCCAGCCACTCCTCCCCAAGCCTGTAGGGTTGCCTGGGGTTGTTGTGACCAAAATGCAGGATCCAACTCTTGGCCCTATTGAAACTCATACAGTTTACCTTGCTCCATCCATCCAGTCTATCCAGATCCCTCTGTAGTGCCTTTCTCCCCTCTGGCAGATCAACGCCTCCTCCCAACTTGGTGTTGTCTCCAAACTTACTGAGGGTGCGCTCAATCCCCTCATCAAGATCGTTAATAAAGATGTTAAATAGAAGTGACCCAAATACCGAGCCCTGGGGGACACCACTCGTGACTGGCCGCCAACTGTATTTAACACCACTGACTACAACTCTTTGGGCCCGGCCACCCAGCCAGTGTTTCACCATGTGAACCAGAGCATGTAATTGCAAGGCCACTATCAGCTGCCTGAAGAAGGCCTCGTCAACTTCCTCATCTTGATCTGGTGGCCTGTAATAGATACCCACAACAGTTTCACCCATGCCAGCCTGCCCCTTAATTCTCACCCACAAACTCTCAAGCAGCTCCTCATCTGCCCCTGGACAGTACTCAATACATTGTAGTTGCTCTCTCACATAAAGAGCAACTCCACCACCTCACCTTGCTGGCCTGTCTTTTCTGAGAAGGACATAGCCATCCATGACCACATTCCAGTCATGTGAGCTGTTCCACCATGTCTCTAATTTTCACCAGGTCATAATGTCCTGACTGAACACGGATTTCTAACTCCTCCTCCTTATTCCCCATGCTGCGTGCATTGGTGTACAGGCATTTCAGGGAGCGAGCTGAGCACACTGATTTCACCCTGGGGGTGGTGGGGGGTGGGAGGTCTCCCAGTCTTCATCAATACTAGAGCACTGCCCCACCAGTGCAAGCCCAGTGACAGCCCCATTCCTCTTCGAATCTAGTTTAAAGCTCTCCAGATGAGCCCTGCTAATTCCTGTCCCAGAACCCTTTTGCCCCTGTGAGATAAACCTTTCCCACGTGTTACTGTTAGGCCTAGTGTCTTATAAAACAAGCCATTATCAAAGAACCCAAAGCTCTGCCTGTAGCACCAGTCTCGGAGCCAAGCATTTATGGACTGAATCCTTCTATTCTGTCCCATATCCTCACCTGAAAATGGAAGGAGGGGAAAGAAAATAACTTGCACCCCAGACTCTTTCACCAACCATCCCAAGGCCTTGTAGTCTTTCTTCATTCCCCTCAGACTATGGGATGCAGTTTCCTCCCCACCTGTCTGGAAGATCAGTAGTGGGTAGTAAGTAGTCTGTTGAGTGCACCAGGTTGGGGAGTGTCCTGGTGATATCCCTGATCCAGACTCTAGGTAGGCTGCAGACTTCCCTATGATTAGGGCCAACTCTACATAGTGGGCGCTCTGTTCCTCTCAGAAGGGAATCACTACTACAATTACCCTTCTTTCTTTCTTATTGGAGGCAGTCTTGAGGTGTGGTGTCAACTACCTCTTCCTATTTCACCTCATAGATGGGCCTTCCACCACATCCTCACCTACCTCTCCCTCTAGATCCAGGGCCTGAAACCTATTATGGAGAGGTACCTGGGGAAGTGAGGCAGGTAGGGAGGAAGGTTATCCGTGATGCCAAACTGGGACTCACTTCCAACCCTCATCTTTTTGGTTCCCTACCTCAGTCCAAAAACAACAGGGCAGGGACTCCACCACACTCTTGGGGGTTCAGCTCAGAGCACTTGGTACACAACTCCTAAGATTTTCTGATCAAAGAATCAGAGCAGATGCCCTTCACACACAGCTTTGTACCAAAATATAATATTTGAACACAGTACAGCATCTAGCACAGAAAGTTTCTGGCTACAGGAGGAAAACAGGAAAAAAAAAAAAAGGAGAATCAATGAGCTTCCACACATCTCAGTGTGAAACTCCACTGAGAGTGTTTAGCTATGCAGTTTCAGAATAGATGGAGGTTCATTCAGAAATAGCAAAGCAATATAAAAATTGCAACCAGTCTCTATCCTTCTGAAGAAACAGAAGTATTCTAAGATTTACTGTCACAAACCAATCAAGAATGTTTCCAAGACATTTCAAGGCAAAAGCCAAAATCACGCTAACAGCTACAAGAAAGGAATCATGCTATAACATAGGAAAAATGCCCTATGTAGGTAGCCATTAGAAGGAAAGACTCCAAGAACCAGCAACTTTGAACCTATTGCCTGAGCTGGGAATGGCATGCATAGCATGCCAGTGACAAACGATCCAGCGATTCCTCATAAATGCAATATTGCTTTGGCCCACTGGAAGCAGGCCAGAAGAGTCCTCAGTGCACCCCAGTCTATGCTAAACAAAATGGGGTCCACAGAGTGGCACCAGTTTTGGGGCACCTTGTTAGGATGGCACAGGACAGCAGTTCTCCTGTCCTTAGAGGCTCACAAAATGCTCACCTGAGCCTCCCATATGCCTCAGGACAAGACAAACCAAGGTTGGTCCTGCTTCCTGCTCTGTTCATCAAACACAGTCTGACCCAATCTGGCTGCCCACAGAAATTGTGGGAACCCCATCTCTGGAGGTGCCCAAGGCCAGGCTGGATGGGGCCTTGGGCAACCTAATCTGGTTAGAAGCAACCAGCCCACAGCTGAGGGGTTGGAACTGGGTGGGCTTTAAGGTTCCTCCCGACCCAACCATTCTATGATTCTGTGATCTGGAGAACAAGCATGACCTGTTGCTTATTAACAACTCCTGCCTGCACCAAAAGTACATGAGTCACAGCATTTCATACAAAAAGAATCATAATAAAATCACAAAATGGCTTAGGTTGGAGGGGACCTTAAAGATCATCTAGTTCCAACCCCCCTGCCATGGGCAGCATAGCCAACCACTAGATCAAGCTGCCCAGCATCCCATCCAACCTGGCCTCAAATGCCTCCCAAGATGGGGCATCTACAACCTCTCCAGGCAACTTCTTCCAGCACCTCACCACCCTCAGAGTAAAATAATGCCTTCCTAACATCTAAACTGATCTCCCCTCTTTTAGTTTAAAGCCATTCCCCCTTGTCTTATCATTATCAGTCTGTGTAAAATGTCGGTCTCCTTCCTGCCTGTAAGC